CTGTGGACCTGTCGGGTGGATGTGAAGGACCACTCCCAATGACTAAGAGCCATGAAGGGCAATATCCAAGAATGCTTTTTCCCCACCAGACCCGTGCCCCACTCAGGAGTTGCTCCTGGCTCCCCCGGGACTGAATGTCCCATTGTGGAAAGTATTTCTGACATTAGCATGCTCAAGGCCTCACCCAAGATTAGGAGGCTGTTGTGCAACACACAAGTGACATTTCCTGCCCTGGGGACCTTGCAGTCCTCATAAACAGTAGGTGTGAGGGGGAAAAAGATCTCCTTTCACACAGCCAGCTAATGACCAGGATAGGGACAGGACCCAATCCAACCTCATAAACGGCCAGGTCATTCAGAGAGATTTCATGATCTGCTCTTCACGTGAGAAGCTCTTTCATGGACTAAAGTATTAGTCAATGCTGGGGGCCCAACCCATGAAAAGGACTGAATGATCCCAAGACTGATATTATCCAAGATAAGGGCTTGGCAAAGGCACTTGGAGGACCTGTACCTTCAAAGAGGAAGATGAGACCATTCAGCACATGTGAGGCTACTCCAGCCATGGGCCGGTGTCCTCCTCAGCCTAACCATCAAACGTCATCCTTTCCTCAGCCCTGTCCCAGTGCTGGCCATACCTGGCTTTGGGAGAGGGAGTAAATCTTTTCAGCAGAAAGGCTATTACAGAGGTCACCCGACGGACCCATAAATCTCCATTATCAGGCAGCGGCTCCTGTGCCATGAAACGGAAATTATTGCCCTGAGTGTGACTGGGGGAGCCTTTCCTTCCCCCCGCATTGTTCAGGGCCCTCTGGGAGCCGCTTGGGCAATTTGCTGCCTGAATAAACGTTTCCTTTCCCGGCTGCTAAGTACAAGGAATAAGTGTCAGGGGATCTCATAATGCCAGGATTTAGAGCTCCAGCGCCAAGACAGAAGCCAAGAAAACACTTTGCTGCTTTTTCCCAGGGAGCCTCCTTAATCCCCATTATTAATAACAACTGCAAATTAAACAATCAATGCAATTGAAGCCCGGTGACCTCCATGACCAATATAGCTCAGCCTGCCAGTGGATCACGGTTCCTGTGGGCTCTGAGCCTGGGGAATAGGCTTGTCTTGGCAAGGACCTCAGAGGTATTTCTGTCTTCTCATGAGCACTCAGGCATGGGGAGAGGGTCTTGCCCCCCAGCTACGCCCCTGGGGGAAGGAGGCAGGTAGAGTCCATGGCCAAGATCTTCAGAAACAATCAGCCATTTTGAGGACTTGTGTATCCTAGGTCTTGGACACCCGCTCATGACAAACTGCACGGGCTGCAGCTCTTCAGGTGATACTTTCTCATTATTTTGTAGACCCTCAGGTTTCCAAGAGCGGCTGGGATGTCTCAGCTGTGTGGCCAGAAGGTCAGCTCAAAAAGCTCCCCTCAGTAACTTCATCCCCGAGTTTAGTGATGCTGTGAAATTATAGCACCTCTTTTAGAAAGAAATCCAGTCCCTTGCCTTCTACTCCTCCACTGAGGCCCAAACACCCTTTGTTCACTAAAGGGCAGGCACTAAACTTACATCATCTTCTCTGAGCCAGTATCCAGTAGTGTCCAAGACACATCCCTTGCCATCATCCAGCATACTTTGAAGCAGGAGAGGCTATTTCTCCTCCAGGTGAGATCTCTTGAGGTCAAGGTGTTCCCTTTGCTTTGACGGGACTCCAGGAATGGTTTTAATGAGGTTGCAACCTTCAGATGTCATCTTCTGACTCAGCACTGGGTGGTGCAGGCAAGGGACGCACCCATCCAATATCACCCCATGAGGGCTGTGATTAGGGAGAGCCACCCATTGTGTGGAGCCTCAGTGTGTCCTGGGAACAAAGTCTGTTCCTTCCCTGTCTTGAGCACCAGTGATTTCTCTTTATTAATATTCACAAGGATCACCTTTGTCTGCAGCTGAGAGGGGAAAATCACATAAACGTTGTTACGATGGATGCAGGAGAGGATTTTTTGAAATTTAAACCAGTGAAAGTCCCTCAAGAGAGAAGCTCCAGTTCAACTCCTATAAAAACTAAAAAAAAAAAAAAACAAAACAAAACCCAAAACAAAAAACAACAACAAACAAAAAACAAAAAAACACAAACAAAAAAAAAAAACAAAACAAAAACAAAAACAAAAACAAACAAAAACAAAAACAAAACAAACAAACAAACAAACAAACAAAAAAAACAACAACCCCCAAACAAGTAGTGAAGAACACAGTTCAAACAAATACAGATGAAAAAGGAGAGCAAAGGGAGCAGGTCTCAAGACTGTTTTGTACTGGGGTTTTAGATGTCTGATTACAAACCAACAGTGAAAATAATGTGGATGGTGGAGCTGGGTGCCACACAAAATCTTAGGAAATAACATTCAATATTCAGTAGCAAATTTGATTATTCTCAGAAAATAAGAGACTTAGACTTTGACTGGTTTCAACTCCACATCCTCTGTTTTTTTCTAAAAACAAAAGTATTCCCATACTTGACATTTCTTCTTATCATACCCATGTTGGGGGAACTTCTTATTCAAGAGCTAGTCCAATTCTTAACATTTCTGAGGGACTGTTAGGTATTTTCTCCTTTTTCTCTGATTAAAAACTTTCAGATTTTGATTTTCTGGTGGAAAAATCTCCAGGAAATGTGGTGTTTTATAATTAGTCACAGACACAACTCAAATCAGTCAAGAGTTTTAACTGTTACCTTTGGACTACCTCTGCTCTGCTAAATTCTCCCTGGATTATGTAAACAAATTTGTGCTGAATTATTTTCAAAGACGAAGGGATTTTCTCACAGGATACTGCGAAAATAATTTGGCTTTTTCTTTGGAAAATGATAATCAAAAACCTCAACAACTTCTAAGATGAAAAAAAATAGTGAAATGTTTTCCTTTCTTGAGATTTTTCAAGGAAATGAGTGCTTTCCTGACCAGCTGTTCCAATCCTCTCTCTTTTCAAAGGAAGTTTATTTGATCTAGATTTTGGCTGTGACTCAATAGTGATTTTAAAGGGGAAAGTGAGGCATTATGGTTACAGTATCACTGAATCCACATGTACAAAAATCACCTGGAGGGATTCCCATCTCTCCAGAATTGCTCAACGGTAATGAGATTTTCCTAAACTGATGAGAAGATACTGGATTCCTTTTTTTCTGGCTCCAGAGCCCTTGGGTACAATCATTCACCGTTTTCTAGTATTTCCCCATGGGCACATGGTGTAATCTATTGCCATTTTTAGCCTGATTTTCTAGGGAGAATTAGGCTCACGTGAATCTCTTTCTCTGTGTCTCTGTTTACTGGAGCCGCTTTAGTCATGTTTTAATCCTCTGACTGTTTCATGGTTGTGTAGCTTCCTACAGACTTTCCAAAAATAGTCTGGAGAAAAAGGAAAATAAGGCTAATGTTTGAACATAACCCTCATCAGATGTCAGAGGGTCTACATGGGATTGAGACACTGATCAGCAAGAAGCCAAATTTTGTTGGTTTGCTCTTTGGAGAACTAGTGTTTTCCAGCAGAAAGGTGAGATACTCATATAATAAGCAGGTGGACAAGCACAAAATATAGTAAGATGCACAATAGCATTTTAAGAGTAAATATTATGCTGGTCTGTAATGGCTGAAGGTCCTCATGAGAAGTTCTTGCCAGCCTCCAAACGCCTCCTGTGTGCTGCAGTTTGTTGGAAATTTTTTCAGCAGACTGGTTTATTCCCAGCCTACGCTAAGTAATGGAACCCTTTGCTGTCATTTGTTGTTTTCCTCTTCTCCTTCCCAGATATTTTACCATCTAGTGTTCCCTTTTTGGTGCCCACAACAGAATGTGTCCATGTGCAGGAAGGAATGGTTTTGTAACAGAAGAAATACATCCCCTAGCTGAACTCAAAAGCTGATACTCTCTAGGTGGGATCACCATCAGGAACACGTATTTTCAAGGACCGTGCCAGCTGGATGCAGCTATATTTACATCTCAGCAAGGCCTATAGCTGATGTTTACATTTTATTAGGCAAGGTTCTTGGTTTCTCAAGGGCATTGTATCCAAGGGTGAGTTGACCTGTGTCTTTCCAAATGATGATGCAGTCGAGGTGCGTTGCGTTGACCTCTGCACCATCTTGCAGATGATATGGACCTGTCATAGCCAGAGGGATTGGACTGGCCCAGCCCAGGGCAGTTCTTGCAGTCGGGACCCAGTGGAGGATGAACCAGTAGTGTGGTGGGTGAATGTACCAAGCCCTGCAGAGTGACACCAAGCACGATGGAGATTTGCATCAAAACCTGAGTCTCTGACACCTGTGGATGCCCAGGGACGTCTGTTAGCTGACAGCCTGAGCTGGGGGGTGTACATATGGACTTTTTAAATTCAGGAGATGCTTCTCATGCAGAGAATAGGGCGAAGGCATGTGAAAGTCCCTCCCCCTTGGCTCTTTGCAGAGGGGCTGGATGGGAGCTGGCACGGGCTGGGTGAGGAGCAGTCCTACGGGGGAGCAGGGCACATGGCATGGCTTTCCCTGCCCATACCTGCTTGAGCCCCGTGGAGAGATGCTCGGGCAGCTGTCTGATCTCTGGGCAGCTCTGATTTGTGGGTCCAGGCTGGTGTTTGTCCGTGATCACAGGCAATTTGTCTTGATTGTAAACACGGCTGTTCGCCTGCCCCAATCTGTTTGCCCTGGCTACGTCCAATCTTGAAAACTGGACGACGTCAGAGCAGAAGGGAAGGTTTCTATTTCTGTCTCCTTGTATCCGTGTCCCAGCACATCCCTGCTGCCACAGAAGTCCTGCAGCCAACACTGTATGGCAGGGAAAGGAGTTCCTCTTCCCAATAATCCCAGGGGCTTCCCTGAGAAAGGAAGAGCCATTTCTTGCAACCTTTAAAATCTGAATGTTTGTGATTTCTTGAAATGTCACTTCTGGACTAAATTGAGAACGAGATCAGAAATTAAATGTATGGCCACTTAATTAACTAAGTATTTTCCCTTCTTTTCCATCATGGCAGCAGAATTTTTTGATGATTATTCAGAGGGGCGAGAATGTGTCAACTGTGGGGCCATGTCCACCCCACTCTGGAGGAGAGATGGCACCGGGCACTACCTCTGCAACGCCTGTGGGCTCTACCACAAGATGAACGGCATCAACCGGCCCTTGTTCAAACCTCAGAGGAGGCTGGTAAGTCAAGATCACACAGCGCATGTGGGGCAAGGCTCTATGTGAGGATGAGGCAAAAAGACCTTGGCTAGGTGGAGATTCCAAGGGTGTTTCAACCTCTTGGGTCCCCGTCTGCCCAACGTAGGAGGTTTTGGTCCAAATTTCCAAAATAAGCCTGATGATTGTCTTGTGCCGGTATGCTCCAAGATCTTACACTGTCCAGATCAGTTCTGCTGACACCCAGGCCAGGCAGTGGAAGGGGCTGTAGGACACAGGGGCAGTACCGTGGTGTTGGTTTAGCAAAAGCTAGTCTTTGCTTTAGTATCTCTGTAGGCATATTAGGATAATTGAAAACCCTTTTCAGCTCCACCACACCACCAGCCCATCTTCTCTTATTCTCAGGGTCCTTATTGCCTGGTAACTGCTGGGTGACCCCTCTCACTTCATGGTAACTGGCCACCTTTACTGGATATCCTGCTCATGGCTCTGTTGGGTGACCTGAGGCAGAGCTTGTGGGGCAGGCCAGGACATCCCAAAACCTGTGGGGTTAGGATGGGGTGTGCATGAGGAACCTGGGGGATGGGAATATCTCAAGTATTGATATCCTGCCTGTCCCTGCCCGTTTTGGTGAGGGGTTTTAGGAAGGTCTCTCTAGCCTGTGCCCCAGGGACATGGGTCCATCATGACCCCAGGCAGAGAGGAACCAGCAAGCCATCCCTAAGGGACATGTTTCCCCACTCCTTGACTTCCATGAGGCTCCATCCCCAAGCTGCCCTGCCCTTTGCATTGCCCAGACCTGTTTGTGCTCCAACCCAGCCGTCCCTTGCAAGTGTCAAAAATGACACTGGCAGCTTGAGCGGAGCCACCAGCCACAGCCACCCAGCGCCCTCTTGTGAAAACCCCTTCCTAGACACTGCACCGACTGAGCCAGGCAGTGTCTGCACCCTGGCACCCAGGCCCTTGACCTCTTTCATTTACGGGTCTGCATGTCCTCCTTGGGCACATCTGGTCAGGAACAGCCTGTTGGGGACCAGGCTTGGTCCTTTACAGCAAGCATCAATGCATGCTGTAAGCTCTGCACAGCCTCAGCGTAAGGCCTGGGAAAATCCGTGAGGAATATAAATGCATGAGTTGTGCAGATCTGTACATGCACTTCTGTCACTTGGCTGGGCAGCTGGAAATCTGAAAATCTTGCAAAAATGGCCAAATTCCTGCTTTTTCTTCTGGAAATTAATTTCCGTGATGGAAAGGAGGATGTGTCTAGGGATGCAATGTAGGGGTGTGGTGGAAGTAATGCCAACTGATTTACATAAATAAATAAATTCAGTGCAAGTGATTTGGTTTAATCTACCACTGTTTAACCCCCTTTTTTTTCGGAAATTGAGATACCCTAGAGAGCCCTGCGAGGGGAGATCTTTGCCTTTGCTGCAAGCTCTCTTTTTAAGCTCTTGGTCCACTTACAAAGGCTGATGACTGAGGCTAATACACGGTGAGGTTACAACTAAAGGAGAGTTTGGTTTCTCTGCACCAAAGGGGATTCCAGCTTTTGAAGTCTTAAGAAGTACTTGAATTTCAACTTTTATTGTCCTGCTGCCGTAGATTAACTGATCCTGTTTCACAATGAGGGAGAAGACATGGAGAGAAAGCAATGGCAAAAATCAGAGAGGAAATCCCTGGTAGCTGCCAAATCCTCATCCCTCAGACTTTCACCCCATTACACAGCCACTAGCTATGCTGTCCAGGTCTGCAGAGCTGGGTAGATATCCAAGACCACCAGATTTCCTCCCTGTAGCCTCCTCTTCATGCACCATGAGAACAGACATCTTCACACAGCTCTAGCACTTCTGTTCACAGTCCCCAGTTTGTCAGCAAATAGAGAATTTGACCCCAGCCCATCCAAACTTTATCCTCAGCATCTTAAGACCTGATCTTTGAAGGATACTGGGAAGAGTCAGGCAGGTGTGGAGGATGTGGCTTTTTCTTCCTCCACCTCTCACACTGCTTCCAAGTTGAAAACTTGTATTTTATATGGTTTCAAGGCCATTGTCTTTCTCCTGTGGCCTTTTGAGCCTAGCTAAACCAGTTCACCCAGAAAGGGAACTTCAAAAGGCCTGTTCCCTGCACTTCTTCATTAGTGGGGATTTCTATTAATTATCCCTCTTTATCTTTAGGAAGACGATGCTGCTGGAAGCACTCTTTTTCTTATCTCCCCCTCAAGCCACACGAGCAACACCATGCAAAGCCAGCAAGGAGTATGTAACACTCATGGCATTGATAACGTCTTTTTGGGAAATGCCATGATGCTTGGAAGGTGAAGGGCTTGGGAGCCTGAAAGGGCAGGATGGTCTGAGATCCAGACACCTTAGTGTAGGTGTGTGCACGTGCAGTGGGTCTCTCAGCAGCTACTAGACCCACTGGAGATCTGGGGATCTGTTCTGGGGATGTCTCTGGCACCATCTGAGATGCCCCAGGACAGTTGGGGTGTCTGCACAGTGCTGGCAGGCAGGAGGCAGCGGAAAGGCAGTGGAGCAGAAGCTGGAAGGCAAGAGGGGGAAAAAAAGGTGGTTGTGTTATCCACTGCAGCAATGTGAGAAGAGAAAAAGACAGAGAAATAAGAGAGGCAAGGGGAGAGAAAAACCTGAGGCGACAGAGAAATAAGAGAGGCAAGGGGAGAGAAAAACCCGAGGCATGCTGGAGCGAGCTTGTTGAGATCTGAGATGCTGCTGGTGGCAGCAGGGCTGATGTGTTTTCTTCCTCTCCTCTGCATTTTCTCACAGTCGGCTTCCCGCCGCGTCGGCCTCTCTTGTGCCAACTGCCACACAACAACAACCACGCTCTGGCGCAGAAACGCCGAGGGAGAGCCCGTCTGTAACGCCTGTGGACTCTACATGAAGCTTCATGGGGTAACGCCTTCACTGATCTCTACTCTCTGCGGGGAGGGTACCGATAGCCCTACACTGGTGATTGGCTTCGTTGCACAATTCTGCTCTCCAGGAGCCGTTTTCCTACGGGCTTTAGTCCCCCTCAACATTACACCATGTTTATACAGGCAAGGGGTGATGGATGCAGAGCATTTCTCACAGACTAATCTGTTACCCTTTGCATCCAAGTCTTAAAACCCAAGAAACCTAGGCCCAGATTCTTCCCACCTAAAGTCAGGCACTTTAGTGAGAAATCTGAGTCAGAAGCACAAGGAAGGGCTGAGCTCCTCCACATAGGGTGTCACATCCCAGCCAAGACTTGGTTGTAGACTTGTCATGGGACTGATAGACGAATTTTCTTGCATGGGTGTCCAGATAGTCTCTTCCTGTCAGTGGGGGCTTCATGTATCTATGTGATCTCTGATATATCTAGAAGATCCCTGTTGGAGTCCTAGGCATAGCAGGACTTCAGGATAAAAATCTCCAGTCCTTCTCCCATCAGCCAGTGGCAACGGGGCCTCCCCCATGTCAGAGACAGAGGCCTTCAACAACCTGGTGATTGCTTAGTAGCAAGCCCCAGTTCTGCTCTCATTGCTACTCCTAGGATTTTTATACACATCCATGCTCTCAAAGATGTTCAGTGCTTCAGAGTGGGTGGAAGAGGATTCATGAGAGACAAGTCAAAGCTGAAAGACAAGGTGGATGAGGGGAAGGCTTACCTAACCCAGCAAATTCTTCCTAGGAATCTCAGTGTGTTTCTGACCATGAGGGTGACTAACTCAGTGGGATCAGTTCTTAGGGGAGGTCTCCTCACACAGTCTTGGTACCTTTCCAGAAAGCAGGTATTCGTCAGAAAGATGTCTTCTGCTCTGAGTTAAACAGGAAAGTAAATCACATCAGCTGTTGTTCCCTTCTGGCCTTAAAACACTCCATATCTATGGTGTAGAAACCCTATATATTCCCATTTGCATGTACATGTTGTAGGTTTGACATCTCTTCACACAGCAGCGCAGACCTTGGATTCCAGCCTGTTGCTTTGAATTAAATCAGTTAGTTTTCACAAAGCCTCTGAGATAGAGCTGGAATCATGTTCTCCTAGATGGCCTTATGGTCATACAGAAACAAATGTGCTTTTATATTTGGTTCTGTAGGTTCCAAGGCCTTTAGCAATGAGAAAAGAGGGCATTCAGACAAGGAAGCGCAAGCCAAAGAACCTTAACAAAACAAAGACACCAGCAGGTAAGTGTTGAATGAGGGAGTTTATTGTATGTGTGTGTGTGCACTTGTGTTTCTGACCATCATGTCCTGTGAGTCAGACACCCAACCACAAAATGGGCCGATTCTTCAAAAATGGGGGATGTCTGAATGCCTTTCAGCAGTAACAAGGCCCTTCCCACTTTTTTTTTTTTTTTTAAATTTAATTTTACCTGCACTAACTCTGGGTGGGTGGGTACAGCTCTGTACTGAAAGGTCTTTGGGAAGAGCCTGGTTTACTGTCTGCTTTCTCACAGGTCCACCCAGCAGCGAGAGTCTTACCCCGACCACCAGCTCCACCACCAGCAGCAGCAGTGCCACGACCACTGAGGAAATGCGCCCCATAAAAACGGAACCCGGGCTCTCATCTCATTACGGGCATGCCAGCCCAATTTCTCAGGTACAGAGGGGAACTGCTGGCAGTAGGACAAAGATGAGAACTAGGATGGTAGACATGGTGAGACAAACACCCTCAAAACCTCTGTGGAAAAAGGCTGCCTCTCTTCAACCCAAGGGTCCAGGAGTTCACAGTAAGAGATCTGTCCTCTGGAATGGGGAAAAACCCCACATTCTTGTCACCATGCTTACAGCACAATATAGCTTTTTAACGATGTGTGGCAGTTCTGAATGGACAACAAGAAGTAGCAGGTTTGCTGAAAACATGAAATTCCTTCTAGCTAGGCGGCCATATAGGTCCCATAGCGAGAAAACGCCCATTCCCTTTTTATGATTTGTTTTCATTTGTCTTGAGCAAGGAAAAATTTGGCGATATTACCCTACTTTCCCTGCACTAGATGGCTGCATGCTGAGAGATATGAGCAATGCAGCGTGAGGAGAATAAACTCACGCAGCGCGAATCTAACTGAGTCGGGTCCCTGTGAAGGTGAAGCAAGGCAGCATGATGGCAGAGCGCTGCAGGGTAAAGCGGGGTGCTCTGTACCATATCCACCACTGGTCTTGGGACCAGCACTGCATCCACACAAGGTGTGTATCCTGCTGAGCAACACCGAGATCTGGAAGCTGATCTGCGTGCAGGTTTAATAACTGCCTTGGTTAATGATCCCCGTCACACAGCATGACTAAGAGATGGCTGTGTATGATAGTTGCTCTCTTTCTGGGCTCATACAGGGAGCTCCAGTTTTCTCCCTGGAGAAAAAAAATATGTGGTTGAGTGTCGTGCTGGACTGATCCCACGGCTGCAGCACTCTGCAGCACTGTTAATGTGTCCTGCAATCCACAGGAGTCCATTTGAAAGCAAAGAGAGCCCAAAGCCAATGAAATCTCAAGCCTTGGGAGGTAAAATCATCATCTCTGACATTTAGAAGAGAACAAGATGCTTTGTATGCAGTAGTAGGAAAGAACAGGGTCTAGATCAAGAAAGAAAGAGCCTGTTCAAAGTATTGTGCATAAGCTGCAATACGCAGCTCTCCAGCAAATTCACAGACATGTTATTACAATAGCACCGGCCCCTCATAGAGGGATCCATATGGTCCTCTATGGTTCAAAGCTTTGCTCACAGGATTTTCCTTTTTTCCATAGGCATTCTCAGTCTCTGCCATGTCTGGACATGGATCATCTATTCACCCTGCGATTTCAGCTCTGAAGCTTTCCCCGCAGGCTTACCAGTCAGCTATCGGCCAGTCTCCACAAACCAGCTCCAAACAGGACTCCTGGAACAGCCTGGTGTTAGCTGAAAACCACGGGGACATCATAACTGCATAACCTGGTCTTCCACCCATGAACTTCAGGCTGATCCACTTGAGAGATGAAGAAGATGTCATGTAATCATCAAGTCAATGTTGCTTCCCACCTCCTCTGCTCTCCTGCCTTCTCTCCCCTTGTGAGATGTTCCAGCAAAGAGGTAAAGAGGACTTATCTGAGGTGTAGGAAAGCTCTTATGAAACAAACAGAGAAGACTCAAGTCTCAAAGTAATTAATGGATTTAAAGCCTTTTTTCCCCACTTTAAATGAGCCTCTCTATTTGACTGTCACCACCCTCTATGAAATATCCAGAAACACAAAGATGGACGCAGTTCTTGAGTTTTGTTTATTTAAAAATATCTGGCATTTGGCTCAGATAATGGTGGAGCAGAGACACTTATTTTCTTCTGTTGCCATCCATTCTTTTCCTGACCAGAAGAAAATGCCACCGTCTTCTCATGACCCAAATTCAATGATCTTCCACCAAATGGAGCCAGTTCCAGAACAGTTTGTTGAACAGACTTCACTAGACATGCTGTGGTGACTTTTGTGGATTTGATATGGTCTAGGGCAGAGAAAAAAAGATACCCTCCCACACACACATCCTCAGCTCACACATCTAGAGCATTGTCTTCATTTTCTAGATGGTCTGAAAAGCTAATGAATGTCCGTATTTAATAGTAACTGCTTTCCTATTTATCATTACAAAATCATGGGACTGTGTTTCCAAAAGATGTTGGCTGAGCCTGGAGAACGTCTGTCCAAATTTAGAGGAAGATTTTGGAAGGAGGAACCTTCTGGAAGCAGGTAGAGGAGACCCACGCTGATCATCAAATCCTGGAGTAAATTGCTGGGCTCCTCCCTTATGGATAGCTACAAGCCAGGCTTAGACATTATTCAAGAGTACAGCAAGTGAAGGATGCTCTTCTAACGCTGCTGTGCCATTGCTTTTGAGACAGTTAATTTAATTGTTTTGCATACTTTTATGTTGGTTTTGATGTCATTGATGAAATCTGATTGTCGTTTATTTTTGGCTGTACTGTGAGTGCCCACTTTCCCCCTAACAGCTGGCTCATGACCATTTCACACAACATACCCTCTAGGATTTCACCTTTTGCAACAAGCAAAGGCGTCAGCCTCTAATGGAGGTAGGTGGGGGCCGTTTCTTTACCAAGCATGTGCATAGACTTGCTTGCCTGCAAGAGAAGCATAACTGCATCCATGCATGAGTATTAAACAAGGCTCGTGGTTTTTCTTGCCCATAAGTCTCTCAGCAACCAGGGAATCCTAGTAAATGGAGTTGGAAGACATGCTGAGAGCTCACTGACTCATTCCCTTTTCCCAAAGGGATCAATTCTACTTAACCTAGCTCTGGCTGCTCTTTCTCCAGCATGTGCTTAACAAACTTCAGCATCGTAGATGCCACAGCTCCCCTGTGCAGTCTAAGTGCTTCACCAGGTGCTTGCCATGACGTTTTCATCAACATTTCTGAGGAGGGACAGCTTTGCCTGTTCCAGGCAGAGAATTTCTGGGAGACTTCATCCTACAAGATTGTCCACTTTTGTTTCTGTCCACTCCCAAACTCTGTTACTCTTCCTGCCTTCCCAGCTCCTCTCTTTTCCTCCCCACATCCAGAACTTGAGTACGGAACTACCAAGTGAAAATCTAGAGGAGGGATTGTGAATCCCTCCCAAATGTGCCATCCTCTGTCTCCCACTGTTTAACATTCCCACAAAGAGTGTTTCCACCCAAGCACCAATATACGTGGCTCGACGAAGAGGAAAGCCACATATGTGTTTGAAGCAAAAGAATGGCATTGTGTTATCTTTGTTTGAATTCACCATTTGCCTCCTGATGGTAGAAAAGCTTCTTTAAGAAGGATTCAACTGGACTGGTTGTGATAAAGACTAGGACTGAAGTCACAGTAGAGATCTTCACCTTTACCCATCTCCAGTGCTCTGAGTAACTCAGATTTGCAGGGTTTTGAAGTGGTGACAGAGAATCTGCACACTCTTTACATTCAAAAAAAAACATGGCAGTGATGCCCTGGGAATGGCTGGATGATGCTTGCACCAGAGTTTCCACTCTGTCTTGCTGAGCTAATGCATTGGTTAGTGACCTAGGAAGGACTCATGGAAACGACACTTATTTGTAAGGGGGAGAGGGAAACCAACCAACTGAACAAGCTGTAATTATTTAAAGATGTAAAAAAATATATATTATGAAGTAGTATGGCTACCAATCCACGTAACTTCTACACCTTTAGAACTAATGGAAATAAAATAATGATAATAAAACCGAAAGGCTTGACTCTGACTACCCTTGTGGGATTCTTGGAGATGGTTGGGGGTAAATGATCACATATGAAGTCCTTTTTAAAACGGTATACCAAAGCATATAGGAGTATAGGTGGCCATCAGAGCACACCCATACTAGATTAGGGGGTGCGGGGGCAGAAGATGTTCAACATGAGCCTGGGATAGTGGTGAGAGGGTGACAATAGCCTCTCTCATGGCAATTTAGGACGGAGGGTCATGCATAGCTAGTGTTGCTGCATAGGCAGCCTTGATTAGGGCCTCTTGGGCTGGTGGGTATAGCCACAACAGGGGCATCTTATCTATATTCTTGCATCCAATTTCTGTTTGGTAGTCCCAGAGTAGGGATTTTTCCCCCAGACTTGTTTTCTCTTTCCCCTCGTACCAGCTAGGTGCAGAGGTGTACCTGGCCCATGCGCAATTTAGTGGGCAGCTGAATGAGATGCTATTGCCCACGCTGGGGCACTCATCATCTCTGTCAGGATATTTGACATATCAAGAGGCATTCAGTGGTTTGGTGTATACTAGGGAGTGATCATCAGCGTTCCATGGGGAGCCATGCTCAGTGGTTCTCCATGGGACTTCAGGGCAGGGGATCCAAAAGTGGGGCTCCACTTGTGGGCTGGCTGGAGAGTATCATGACACTCAGCATCCCACACCGAGTTAGCATTTATTGTGTCCGGTGACCAGCTGTAAGCAATATAGGTGTAGCCCACATCCACCTTGTCTCCCTGAAATCTCCACCTATAATTGTTATACTGAGCCCACGTTAATTCAAGAGCTAGCGATATGTCGACACCCTGTACAAAATTTGGCAAGGGATCCTCAGCTAATCTGGGGGTGGGTAAACAAACTGTTACTGATGCTAGGTTTGTCATCTGTGTGAATCCCACCATCATCTTTGCCACTACATTGCCATCCGGGTCTGTGTCATCTGCGCCAACCGCTGTTGCCACCAGTAAGCATGACAGAATTGTCCACCTCCCCATTGTCCTGTAGGGGAGCACGAAGAGTGGCCTCAGTCCCTCAGGACTGAGTTTGTGGGTTAGAAGTCTGGGATTATCCAGTCTGGGATTATTATGGTGGGTTCTTCGGTTTTCACCTAGGGCTTCCCAGGCATATAAGCCTCTGGGTTTTGTCAGTCATGGGTACAATGCCAATGGAGGGCAGCTTCACCATTACAGGCTGGCCCATGTACATCCGTAGTGGGAAGTGGTCTCTTTTATTACCCAGCTTAGGGTTGTCACCCATTTAGTGCCATCATCCATTAATGGTCCCACAAGACAAAATGAGGTAGGTACCACTGTCTGCCCACTACCACACTGAATCCTAATATATTTTCTTTATTTCCTTTATAAGGGCTCAAATCCACTTCCATAGCCATCATCCTTTTCCTCAGGCAACCAAAACAGGGTTCAAGCTAGTGGACATCTCTCTGCTGCACCCATTACCCCTAACTATTATGCTGATGGCTTTTCTTGATGGTTTTATTCTGAGCTCATCTGCCTGCTGTTTGTTTAAAATGCTGATTTGTGCTCCTGTGTCGATCAACACCTCTAAACTTACCCGCTTCAGATCAATGGGAATATGTACATAGGGTTCCTTAGCAGCAGCCCATTGACAAGAATTCACCAAGCATGTTGGGAAGCCCAAGCTCCAATCTGCAGTTTTTAGTTTTTTAGTTTAAGTCCCCTCACAAGGACATGAAAACATTAGGGTTTTGTTTTCCATCTTGGAGGGTGGGGGGTGGTTTCTGGTGCTTCCTTTTTCCCAGTTTTCCCCTCCAGCAGTTCCACCAGCCTTCCTACGTGCTCGGTGGTCTGCCCATGTAAAGAGCTTGGGGTACCCCCAACGCCAATGCCTTTTGCTACAAGTCATTCTGCTCCAGACAGCCAGTTCGATCCAATGTTCTTTGGAAGGGTTCAGGACCCCACGGGCGCTGTCCGGGCTCGTGGCTAGCTTGCTGGTCCCTCCTCCTCCCGTCTGCCCCACTGCCCAGATCCTTCCACCCCATTTCGCACCCATGGGTGGCTACTTCATGCGGAGTTTCGGCCCAAGTTAGCACATGTGTGAGTGGATTTTGAGGGTTTTGTTGGTTATGGCACTTTGGATCCACCCTCTAAGGGGTTGGATGTGTATTTTTAAGGTGTCTGGTAGCCCCCTAATGAGACGCCTAAGGCGGGTGGGATCCACCGGTGCAGCCATGGGTATCCCCTGCTGCCCTTTCTCATACATCACCTGTACACAAGCAGTCTGTATCCCCTCCACCAGCTCCAACAACCCGCTGATCTGAACGGTAACAGGCTCTCCTCCTTCTTTGGGATCCACACCTCTGGCCCAACATGCTACCCAAGATGTTATAGACTGATCACCTGCCAGCCCATCACTCAAAAACACATCAGGTCCCCAGAACGCTTGAGCCTCATCATCACTCAACAATATCCAATCATCTCTGGTAAGCGAAACACGCCACAAGTATTCCCTCTCTGTCTCATCCAGTTTATGTGAGAACTTAGCTTGAAAGTCACTAAGTTCGGGTCCCATCTGTGGGGTGGTTGGACAGTAGTTTGAGGGTTTCTACCCTGTGAACCTTCTTGCCTTTCTGTTTTAATAAGAGGTCTCACATCCTTCTGTTTTAACTCTTCCATCTTGTTAGCACTGTTGTCCTCAGAATCTCCCCAGATGTCCCTATCCTAGTCCCTGGGATCCATACCAACAATCCATTTCTGAATTTGGACAACACAGGGGGGGCTTTTCCACTTGGCTTCACATGATCTCAACCCTCTGTTGCAAGAAATATGTCTGCTCTCTCTCTCTCTGTAACTCCGCTTCCAAACAATCTATTATCAACTGCCTCTCAGAACTATCCCTTTCCAACTGCTCGTAATGCTTACGCTGGTCCTGCGCTTCTATCAGGCAAGGACCCGGGATGGTGCAAACAGTTCCTCTTCCTCTCCCATCTCGTTTGTCTCCATGACATTTCTCCACCTCCTCCACAACTGCTTCAGGCTCACACCACTTCTCCTTTGCCTACTCCATTCCCAAGGGAGAAAGGTGGCCACCCTGCCTCCACAAGAATCCCTCCATCACTACACCCTGCTCCCTGTGCCAACTAAAATGTTATGGAGGTACAGAAAAGCGGCTTCACACAGATAATAAACTTGAACAAACCTGAATTTGTAACCAAATCCAAACAGCCAAAACCAATGAGAGAATGGGGGGAATGAAATTAACGCTTTGATAACATTTAACAAATTATAGGTTCGGTGTACCAGTTGGGGAAGTTATTACTACACAGTGACACAGATCAACGATGACACAGAAGAACAACTTAGTGTGCTTACACTGACTCACTGAAGGGAAAACCTTTCACTCAGAGGTGCCCAGAAGATGGAATCGCTCACCCCAAAGGGCGAGGGCTCGCTTGAGGATACCCAGCAGAACTCACCAAGGGAGAGGGGTGAGGGCACTCAATCCCGGGAAGTTTCCTTGGGTGGCATCCCAATCCCAAGGGGTGGACTTCCAACCACAGACCTGCTGCTCCAAGAAGAACCACCCCAAGGGGGTCTCTGGTGGGGTCCCCATTTTGTAGCCTGGTCGGATCCAAGCTGTGGTCATGTACAGTCAGCATTCTAGAAACTTCTCTCAAATGAGGGATTTCATTAGCTGAGGGTCTTGTTGGTCGACCAGGGGTCCCACGTCCCTTTTCCTGCCATAGGGTGGGAGGGTGAATGCTGGTCTGCACCCCACCAGGATGTGTACGTGATAGCAACCACAGTGTGCTGCCAGAGGCATGGAAGAGCTGGCAGCCACCATCTTAAAAGCCCTAGCCCCTAAGGAGGGGGGTGGGCTCCTGCCCCAGTCCTGTCCTAGAGAGCTCAAAATGATAAAATTACAGAGTAATTTAAATCAGAAAAGACTAGAACAAGTTTCTCAGATTCCTGTTCAGTCCAGTGTTTAACACCCCAAGGATGGAAATCCTACAGCCTCTCTGGGTTCTTGTCCCAGTTTTGGACTAGTTTTTCCAAATAAACATTAGATTCTAATGAGAGGCAAAATCATTGATAAATTAATTGCTCAGACTTGGGGACTCTCAAGCAATGACTCACTTTAGGAGACTGAATGTTGTCTCCAAGCCCAGGAGTCACACAGAGCCCCTTCTTGTAGGTAGAAGCTGGGATGGTCAATGCAGGATGACAAATGCCAGAAGTAACAAACCCAGAAACAGAGCAGTTTAAAGCCAGGTTGGGTGAGGCTTTGAGCAACCTGGTTTAGTGGAAGGTGTCCCTGCCATGGCAGGGGGCTTGGAATTAGATGATCTTTAAGATTTCTTCCAACTCAAACCATTCCACGATTCCATGACAAAAAGGGAAAAGCATCCCAAGTTTTCCATGCAGCAAGTAATCCCCCTAGCACAGCAGAGTGGGAAAAAGCTCCTCAGGGCACTTTAATACCATCGGGACTTAGGTCTTGGGCCTGCTCACTAACAGGGTTTGTGTAGCAGGCTGTTGTTCAGCCTAAACGCTCCCAGCTGAACTCCCAGGCACCGCCCTTAAGCCAAAATCACCTTGTCAGCAAGGGCTGGGTTTTCTGCAGGGGGGTGGAGGTAGCTGAGCACAGCCCTCCTACAAACACCCGACCTTCCTCCCAGGGTGCCCAGCTTCCTCCCCAATCCAGCCAGTCCCTAGAACACGTGTGGAACTGGTGAGGTGAGTGGGACCAGAACTTAAAACCCCACCCATTTCCAACCCCACCCATTTCCAACCCCACCCATTTCCAACCCCACCAGCCAACCGGGGAGCTCCCTTGCTATTTGTGTGGGAGGTTCCTCCTCCCCTATAAAAGTGGGTGGGTGGAAGATTTTTTTTTTTTAGGTGCAGATGGTTGTGTTGAGGGTGGGTGGGGATGTGGTGGGAGGTGGCTAGGGGGTTTTAGAAGGGGAACTAGGGGCAGAGGAAGGGTTCTGGAGCATGGAGGAGCAGAAGGGC